ATACATATTGTAATATTTAAAAGAGCAACTTCAATTTTAAATAAAATGATAGTTATGCGGCATTTCAATTTTTACGTTTAACAAAATTTATACTAAAGATAGATAACAATAAATAGTAATTAAGTTTATTAAATTCTTATGTTAGTCGACATAAGTAAAAAATTTGCTATCATTTAATAATATACTTGTCAAACAGTAAATGGTTAGCTGCAACGCATTTTGAGCCGAATGGTGCCAGACGAACATTTCCATGTTGGGACGAGCCAGCATTAAAAGCAACCTTCAACATTTCTGTAAAGCATCATCAAAAGTATGGTGTATTGTCGAATATGCCAATACAACAGCAATTTTTAGAACAAGATGGCATGATGCAGACACACTTTGACATCACTCCTATAATGTCTACTTATATCGTAGCGATTGTAATGTCCGATTTTGTCCGCGTTCCCAATGCAAACAAGACGATCAATATGTGGTGCAAGTCGTCTTTGACATCGAAAGTAAAATTCGCACATGGTATTGCTGAAAAGGTCGTAAAATTCTTAATTCAATATACCAATAGTTCTCAGAAGGTACCGAAAATGGATCACGTCTTGATATCGAATTTTACAGTTGGTGGCATGGAAAATTGGGGTCTCATCATTTATCAGTAATATTTATAATTAAAAAAAATTAATTAAACTATTATAATGCGCTAATCAACGTTACGTTCAGCATTCACTTAGAAATTTAAAACATGTGCTTATCTCATAAATATCCAAAAATACATATTATCATATTTAGATTGTTATAAATAGTTAACGTATTTAACACACATTACATTTCCCCTTTTCTTTTACTCACATAAATATTTTACATTATGTATAATATATGAAAAAAAACAACCAAACTAAGTTATTCGTATATAAGTATTATGAATAATATAATTATTCCGAAAACATTCGACTGCATATTCAGAAATATTTTACATGATTATATCATATAATATTGTGTCTTTTTAGTGAATCAAAAATTATCTACGATGATAGCAGCAATCCAATATATCGGAAAACAGAAATAGCGTTGACAATAGCACACGAACTTGCACATCAATGGTTTGGCAATTTGGTTACTCCATCTTGGTGGTCTTATCTGTGGTTAAGCGAGGGATTTGCTGCGTTCTTTGAAACGTACATAATAAACAAGGTCAATTATTATTCATTTTAGATTGTTATTATAAAAAAAGTTATTGAAGTACTTCTTAAAATAATGCCAATTAAATGCAATTAAATACTATATTTTCAAGAGGAACTGAATAAAAAAATAGGACATGCTTTAATTTAAATTATAAAAAAGTGTGCGTTTTTTAAAATAATTATATAAACATTTAAAAAATTCTTATTGCAAATTAAAGATTGTTCGTTTTTATCTATATATTTATCTATATATTTATCTATTGAAGATTTTTTATTTTAATTTTTTTTATAAAAAATCGTAAGAACACTAATATTTTCATTAGAATTCGAAAATATTTTATTTTCTGCACTCATTATATTTGGCATTTAGTAAATTAATAAAATTTAACATTTTGGATTTTCATATCTTAATTTTGTTTTCATATTAAGTAATCTCCAAAAAACTTTTAAAAATAATTAAATTTTATCTAATTTAATTAATAATATGCTCTTTTTGAAAAGAGCTCTTTTTAAATATGATGCTCTTTTTGAAAAAGATTCGATCTGAAAATGTTTATACAATTCGGTGTAATGAAATGTAGAATAGCATTTTCATGGAAATGGTAAATAAACTGGTTTTTCTAATGTGAGCTTCTCTTTGAATTAATATTTAGTCACAGTGAAACATTTCTTATTTCAGATTTTCCAAGATTGGCGGTTAATGGATTTTCTTTTAATTCGGACAGTACAACGATGTTTTCTTAAAGATATAGGTTCAATGAATTCTGTCACATTGAAACTTGGCAATACTCTCGAAAAGAAATCGCTGTTTTCTGATGAAGTTTATAAAAAAGGTAAAATTATGTAAATAAAATAAAATTATTATTCATGAATTCTTTAATGCATAACACAAAATAAAAGATAAAACAGAAAGCTAATAGCAAATTCTTCTTTAGTGCAACATTTACATATAACAGATATTAATTTTATATGTACTTTGAATGTATTAATTATTATTATTATAATTATTGACATTTATTTTCGTAGCGCCAGTTTTATTGCGCATGTTACTTAATACAATTACTGATGAGGTATTTAGAAATGGTCTCATTACGTATTTGACCACGCAGTAAGTGTAATGTAGTCTTATTATATATCATAATATTAAGTACATGGATGTAATAAGTACTTGTATTCATATTGAAAAATATAATATGACAGAAATTTGAATGCTCAATATTATTCAATTATATCTCTTATTATTATTCAAATTCTCACTATTATTCAATTATACGTTTCTTATTTCTTAGTTATAAGCAATTGAAGTTATAATTTTAAGTTATATTTGAAATTTTTTTACTTATGTATATATATTCAATTATACATTAATATTCGCATAAATTCTTTAATAGTCAATGTATATTTTTCGATATATGACTGCAACGACTGACAATTATCATTTTTCAAATTTAGTCAATTTAGCTCAGCCAGTCCAGATGATTTGTGGAGCGCCATGCAAAGCGCTCTAGATGAATCTGATGTCCCACATAAAGATTATAGAATAAAAGAAGTGATGGATACTTGGATAAATCAAAAGCGTTATCCTTTTGTAGACGTGGTAAGAAATTACGAAACTGGCGAAGTGACAATATCACAAACATGTGTTTGGCAATATGGTGAGACTGAGAATAAAACTACTAAATGGTGGATCCCTATAACTTTCGCTACTCAGTCCAATCCAGATTTTTCCAATACTGTACCTCGTTATTGGTTACGACCAGATCAACATAATATAAGTTTTACAATTAATTCAAGCGATTGGATTATTCTCAATTTACAACAAACTGGTAAGTATGAATCAATTTACGCTTTGTTAATTTATTTTATTTTTCTATCATTACAAAAAAGTTTTACATCATTCAATGCTTTTATTATGTATCTTTTTATTTATAAAAAAGTTTAAGTTTAAAGAAAATTTTATTAAATTTTCCAAATTTCGTCAAACATTAATTAAAGCAAAATAATTTTTAATATATAAAAATATATCTTGATAAATTCAATTAAAAGGATTTAATAATGTATGAAATAAAAATTCAACAGGGTATTACCGTGTTAGTTATGATGTCAAGAATTATCAAAAAATTGCACATTATTTAAATAGTAAAGAATATAAAAATATACATGTTGTTAATCGTGCTCAAATCATCATTGATTTGCTTACTATGGTGTTTGCTGATCGAATAAACGGATATTTATTCGTTCATCTGATAAGTTATCTCTTTCAAGAAAGAGAATATGCAGCATGGCAACCATTATTTCAAATGATAAAAAGTATATCAAAGATTCTTTTACAGCCAGAGTTCTATCATATTAAGGTAGGACTTTACAGTCCAAGTTATATAAAGTTGTAATGCGGATATGCGTAATTTATCACAAATTGGTTATATTCTCAAATAAAATTTGCGAATTTTTTTAAAAATATACACATATAAAAATATTATTTGCATGTAATATATTATAATTAAAACTGCGATTTTTTTTTGTGCTTGACAGTTTCTTATTATAGCGTTAAGTAGCATTAACGAAAATTTATAGCATTAAAAAAAATATAAATATATATTAAAAAACAATTATATAAAGTATTCTATATACAATTATAAAATAAAGGATACAACTAGGTCAGTCCAATTTGAAAAAAAATTTTAGACAAAAGTTATGTGATTTTAAGAGAGATATAAGATGGTACCATAAGTATGACCTTGGGTGATATTATCAAGATCAGAGCAAAGTCACTTTGAATTTTTTAAAAAGAATTCCCCATTTTTCATTGCATATTTTCATAACTTACCTCGAAAGCTTTTCAAAACATTATAATAAAATATTTTTTACTTTATTGAAACTTTTATCTGAAACTTTTTTCAATCCCACGTCTCCTTCTCGAGATATTTTAGTGTAACAATTTAAATAAAACATCCTGTGTGTGTGTGTGTGTGTGTGTGTGTTTTAGTTTAATATTTCCAACTTAATAAATTTTTCTAAGGATACTTTATTCGACTTAAAC